CTGTCACTGTGCATTCCCTCTCCCAGACACATTCATTCATTCAGCAAACCTTTTGGGGAAGCTGCTGCATGGTAGGCTTGATGCCAAGTCCTGACACTCCAGGTTGTCCCCATCATCTGGTTACTAGGTGTGCTGTTGAGTTTTCAAAGAACTGATCACATAAGAACAACTCCCCAGAAGGAAAGAGAGGGAACTGGAATAGAAGAGAGTATATGAGAGTAGCTTTGCCTGCAGAGAAAGGAGGCTTTAGTCTTTCAGTCAAGGAGACTGATGTGTAGGTTGATGCATGGAAAGGAAGTAGAAGCCCAGGTGGCACCTTATGGTGCCTTGCAAATCTATATCACAGAGATACCATGTACCTTCTCAGATCCCAGGTCCTTGCTCCCAACTAAGTCAGCTTTATGTCCAAGAACCAGCCATCTCCAGGACCATCTTGGCCAAATGATGCATATCTTTCTCCCAAATTGCAAGTGGTCCAGGAAACAATTAATGGTGATTGCTTTTAAAAGCAATTGGATTAGGAGTTAAATGCATTAATCTCAAATCTGAGAAGATGCCTGAGGCTGGGGACCCTTGTCATTTGCCTCTCAGAACTTCACATTGAGGTCATCATTTGTGAATACGAAAACAGGAGCATTTTGGAGGTTTTATAGTCTGTTCCTTTTGGGTAACCTCCAAGTTTCAGGCAACCTGACCTCCTGGACCTGTATTATTTTGCCTTCCTTCCATAGCCCTTTTATTTCTTGCAACAACAGTGTCACCAGGAGCTGTAAATCAAATAGATTTACACAGTGAATACAAGGCAGGACCCTGCACAAATCCTTCCTTTCATTCCCCAGACATCGAGGACCAAGGACTGAGCATCCCCAGGCCAGGCTTGCCTAGGGACCTCAGAACACAAAGGGGGTACCAGCCATGGAGCACCAAGCTCTGGGGCAGAGAGGATTTAATGACATTCCCTGAGAAGGAATTGGGCTGAGATGACTTGCAGCTTTCCAGATTTGTGGAGAGTGTGTGGATTGTGTTTATTTTTAGCCACAGGCAGTCATTTCTTGCCAAAAAAAAAAAAACCCTGCTTAAATAAAACCAAGATTAATATTTTTACTTAACGGAAAGAGTTCGTCAGGACAGGCTTTGAACTGGAGCCTGCTTATCTTGATGGGGAGTGCATTTATAATGTCTGGCCTTGGCTTTGACATCAACAAAAAGGGCCTTTGAAACTGACAAGGAAGAGCCCTGAGGAACCAGGGTAGGATGCAGGAAGTACCTATTTGGGGGAGGCGGTGGGGGAGGGGTGTCTTCCTGGAAAGTGGGGAGAGGGTCCTGGTTTTACTAGGGGCCAGCTGCAGTTTTTCCTCTTGTCCAGCCAGTTCCTCCTCCTCCCCCATCAAGTCTGCTCCAAGTTTCTGCTTCCTCTAATTTCAGAAGCACCCGACAAGGTATCTTCTGCAGGATGGATCCAGAACCCTCTAGTCAATTTCTTCTTAGGAACTTTAGGTTGAAATATTATTACCTCCTTAATTAATCTCTCCTTGTCCCTTTCCGTCTCCAAGCCCTCAGAAGAAGAAACCTCATAGGGTCTAGGGAACTTCGGAGACTGAGTCAGGCTATGCCTCCTGCCTCAAGTCTTTCGATTCACTTGTGCCCCTTGGCGATTTGATTTGTTCTCTGGTGCTAAACTCCACCTTGTCTCCCTGATAGACTATCTGTAGAATCATGAAATGGGGCTTGTATTTCTTGCTGTCACTCCTACCAAGCATTCCTGCTTCCAGACACCAGCCTATGCCAGGCCTAGGATGGCTCAGCTGCTGGAAGATGTTGGGTGAAAAGTGGGTGGCTGTGTCCAGCATGGTCCATCTCAAAGCTGCCTTTTGAAAGTGGAGGGAGATGTGATGTCAGCTTCAAGTTGCAGAGCACTTTTCTGTTGCTGTTGAAGTCTTGGACACCCCCCAACCCTCTTGTTCCCCATGGCCTCTGCCTGGGCCAGTGACTGCCTCCAGGGAAGACTTTACTGCCAAATAGGAAAGCACAGAAAGAATAACATGCATCCAAGTTGCACAGGACAAACTAAAGCAAATGAAGTTATAATAATTTGCAAGCCAAATAGGTGGATGTGGGGCTGGCAAGCAATTTGACTTGGAAGGGTTGTGCATCTATTTGGGAACACAAGATGTTTCATTTTAGTTTAGTTTCAAGAGGTTTTATTTTTGTAGAGAAAACATTGGTGTGACCTCTATCCCGTGACCATAGATACCACCTTGGTTGGCAGGTCCCACTAGATCACTGTTGGGCTATCTGTAGTGATAAAACAGGGATGCTTTAGTTTGAAGGCCTCATGCACATTAGTTCTGGTCACCTCAAGTGTGCCCTCTACCTTTCTCTGCGATTTTTACAAGGCTGAGATATTTCGATGAGTTTTCCTTCCTTCACTTTCATCCCAGCCAGGAATCTCCCCTCTACCCTAATCCCATGGGAAGTTGACAGGTCCTACCTAACAGGGCTTCAGGGTGGACGATATCAAGTGAGGTTCTGGTGGCAGGAGCAATGTTAGTGACAGTGAAATAAGATGCATGGTACTTGGAGTAGACCACATATTTTTCTTGGTGCTCGTTCTTGTCTCTCATGGCAGATTTCAGATGACTGCTATCTTCACTCCCATTTTATGTACTAGGAAACTAAGGCCAGAGAGCTTTAATAAATTTTCTGTGGTCACATGGCATCAGGGCTAGGATTTGACTCCACAGGGGGAACCTGCCAAGTCCAGGTCTTTATGGCATTCCTCCGCTTGTAATGGATGTGAGTGGGAATAGGCCAAGAAAACCAGAGAGATTTTAGGGGAAAGAGCTGTAGTGAGGCCACATAGTAATAGTAGGATTTGAACCCTGAGTACAAAGACTCAGTGTGTTTTCTCTAAACTGTCCCCAGATGAAAAGGTTTCAAGCTCAGGCCATTTCAGGATAAGAAAAGATTTGGCTGATCTTTTGTGCAGAAGCCTCCAAAAGTACCCAGCTTTATAGGGCAGGCTTGCTTAAGACATTTTAAGTCTAAATCAAGGTGAGCTCTTTGCTAGATGTTGCTACTTAAAGGAATCCTCTTGCTATCTTCCTCTTAGGCAAAACCTTACTGTCCCCAGTTTACCTTCTGGGTAAAATAAGCTGCTGAATATGAAGTCAATTCAGTTCCTCCAGAAGGAGGATCAGTACTCCAGTCCAGGTGGATCTGCCCTCTGCCCAGCAGCTGGGCTGTTCTGATGTTCCCCCAAGGTCAGGGTGATGACAGAGTCTCTGAGGCCTCTGGGTGGACAGCCTGTTGCCTGCTACTGATGCACTTGCAAAGTGAGACACGAGAAAGGGAGGCAGTGCCTTCAGGGGTTTTCTGGAAACTTGTCAATGTCCGGCTTATACAGCAGATCTGGAAAGAGCCATTCATACCTCTTAACCTGTATGGCCTCAGCTCCGGAGCTGTCTTTGCCAGTGGGCTTTGTGTTACTAGGATAGTTAAATGGTCTAGAGGCTCACTGATTCATTCAAGTTATGATTCCATGTCTAATCACCAAAGTGGGGTCCAGACTCAGTAAGCAAGAAACCCTATAGGGATGCGGACTTGGTTCCTCATGAAGATGTTTTTAAGCAATAAATAAATAGAGAATAGAAACATTATAGGATATCTACAAGGCGAAGACTAAGGAATCTGGCAGAATGTAAGTGTGTGTGTGTGTGTGTGTGTGTGTGTGTGTGTGTGTGTGTGTGTAAATGGTATCCTTTCAATAAGCATTTTTTGAATATTTACTCAAAAAAGTGGGTTGGAATGAGTTGTGTGTTTGCTCCATGTCTGACTGAAGGAACTTGAGTCTGGAATGTCAATTGCATCTTAGAGTTGAAGCGTTTCATTCAGAGCTCAAAACTAGTAAAAATGCCTCTGTTCTGCAGCATCCTAGTAGTAGAGCTTCAGCTACCACACTGTCACCCCCGGGCTTTCACTAGTTCTTAGAACCAGGTGATCTCCTGCACATACACACACAGAATGACCTACTTTCTGCAGGCCTGCTTTCCCCTTTCAATACTTAGTCATTGATTGCTCTGTGGGGCTGGCTTTAAAAAAAAAAAAAAAAAAAAATCCCTGAAGACTGCTTTTGAGGGAGAGGGTGTTTTCACACAAACAGTCTAGTAGAAACTGAAGGTTAAACAGTCTCTTAACCAGTTCCTGTCCACTGATGAGAAAGTCTAACCAAGGAGTGCCAGACCCTGCATGACTGGAGACAGCATACACTGATTGCAGGAGGAAGTTGAAGAATAATGACTGGATGTGCACTAGAGTGCCTATTGTAGCAGTTCTTCCATTTTTGATGCCAAAGATGATAATTCTAAGCATTTATCTAAAGAAAGTACATCATTTTGAAAAGTATAACCTAATTATTTCCTTTTTTATATTTATTATTTTTTCTTATTTTACATGAAGATATCAGCACTAAAACATGATAGAATTATCTATGACAACAAAAGAATGAAGAATTGTTATATCACTTGAGTTCAATTGCCTGTACTCTCCTACTGTTATGTGCTGATATCTAGAAATAATAAATCATCTATGGTTTTTAGTTAAAAAAAAAAAAAAGAAGAAGAAAAAGAAGGTGCATCAAAGGCAAGGGTATGTTTCACCTGCTATGTCTCACCTAATTGCTCCAGTTAAGGTGATCTGGACTATTGTGAATCTTGTTTTAGGGATGGAAAGCCAGAATCAAAGTTTCCTACTTGTCTTGGGTCACAATATCCATGGATGGATCACTCATTAGGCTCCCTGAGACTCAGACTTGGTTTCAATTACTGCAATTAATGTTGACTTGGGGTACTGAGGGAGGTGGAGTTCATCATAGCCTTGTGGATGTGCCAGGACATGAAGAGTTCTTGGTAAGATAGTAAATCAGGAAGAGAAGCCCTTTCTAGGTAGGTGTGGTTCAAGCTTTCCTAACACCTTCTCTCTCTGTCTTGCTCTCTCTATAGTGATCCGAGCCAAAGTGGTGGGAAAGAAGCTGGTGAAGGAGGGGCCTTTTGGCACACTGGTCTACACCATTAAGCAGATGAAGGTGAGTGACATCATCATTGGCCCCAGGAGAGATCTTGGAGGTTTGCCAGAAGAATCATGGCCAAGGGAAGTCAAATGGTTGGACCTGGAATGTGTGTTCTCTCAATGTAGAAGACTCAGTCTGCCCCAGGGAGCTGTTGAGGCAATAGGAAGAGATGGTGACTGCTTGCTCCAAAGTCAGGACAGGCAGATTCATTCATAGGTCTTTGTTGGGAGGCTGAGCCTTGGAACTGGATGGCAGATAGCTTTGTTACTTGATGACTGTGAGACCTCAGTACAGTTGCTGCCCTTCTTTGGCCTGTCAAACACCTCTAAGAGCATCATCTTGGACTGCACAAGCCTAAGAGCCCATGTGAACTGATTTGTGTTGTAGCCATAGGCTACAGTGCTGTCACCAAGGCTAAATGATAGGTGTCCTTTCCTTCAGTCTTCATATTGAATAAGTGCTGAGCACAGGGCCATCTTTGTTTCCCAGCTCTGGTAGTTTTCCCACATTATAGGAATATTTGCTAACCATATCCACACCATCAGACCACTTACCAAGCACAGGAAGTTTCCCAAGCATGCCAGAGTAGTCTGTTTTCAGGAAAACACAGAGAACCCATGTTCTGTTCCTGTTGCTATTCCGAAAGAACTCATTGACTGTGGTCTTGTGCTTTTCCTGGCCATGGTGTTAACATCCATTGGTAGTGGGGTTGGACTTGGCACCTCATTGTTCAAGCATTCTAATGGGTAGGGTCTTTTCTAAGCAGGAACTGGTGATAGCTGCTGGAAACATGTTCTTACGTTTGTCTTCATGGCACTAAAGACTGGGGCTTCAGCTTGAATAACTCAGCTGTTCCTCAACCCCTGTTTTTAGCTGATCTCTGTGTTTATAGCCTAGGACTCCATGAGGCAGCTTCTACATTAGTACTATAGTTATATGAAGGAGAAGATACATGCACTGACAAGTCACAAGTTCAAGCTTGGATGTGCTGAGGTCCATGTGAACTGCCTGCACTTTTTACTCATTGCGGTTCCTGTGCCCTTGGACTTTGGGGGGGTGATATCCTAACATTCAATAGGTAAATCTTGGAGAATGGGAACATCTAATGAAAGAGATGAAGGTGAGTCCCAAAGGTCTGAAAAATCCTCAGAAAAGATACGTGTTAAGGCCCAGGTTGGACTTGACTTGGGGGTGAGGGCTGACTCACCCCTGAGTGGAGCCCAGCTATCCTAATGGCTGACCTTCGGGCCTCTTTATCCCCTCCTAAGGTCTGTGGCTAGTTGCACTAATTCTGTGGAACCTGTTGCTCTGGCTTCAATTGTGGAAACACTCCCAGGCTCTTGGTTATGTAATGTTCAAAGTCAGCCCTGGCTAGTTGCCCTTGGCTGCCTGAGCTTGGTCATGAGAGCGGCTTATGTCTCCAGACAGCTGGGAGGCCAGGAGTGGGTGGAGGTGGGAAGCCACTTTGCAACCTCTGGCAGTGGGGAAAGGAAAGCCAGAATTTCTGGCTGCAGTGGAGGCCCCTTCCTCCCTGCTCTGCAACAACCTCCATTGTCAGAAACTTTGAGGTTGCTGCAGAGAAATAGCTGGGGGGCAGGAATTCCTAAACTGGCTTGCCTTCCTTCCTGCCTTCAGGGCTTAGAGGCCCAGTTACCAGAGGCCTTTCTGTCAGCAGAATGTCCCTGGTTGGTGTCACACCCACAAGTGGGAGTTGTTCAGAGGCTATTATAACTGTACTTTCACCCACCAGCTTGCCAGCATACCACTCCTAGGCTGGCTGGTTTAGACTCTCTGCTCACTGTCCTTCAGCTGGGTTCATGGTGTCAAGGTGATGAGCATTCAATATAGTAATCTTTCCCTTATTTCTGACTAAGTTCAGTGGGAAGTGATATGCCAAGAGTCATGAAATTAATTAAGGGCAGATATGAGTCTCAAGTTGAGGCATTAAGGAACCTTTCCTAATCATGTGTGGCTCTTGATGGACAGTCTGCAAAACATACAGCAGGAAATTCTTTGGAGGAGGAATATAACTTGTTTCTCAGTTATATCCAATCTCTTTCATTAACTCTAGCTCTCTTTGCAGCCCACATAACTGTCAATGCCTTTTTATCTACAGAGATCATCTGCCTGCATGTCAGAGCAGGTAGTGGCTGGGAGTGAGAGTCTGCCCATTCACCCCAGTCCTCTTCAGCCTCTTCTGTGCTTAGCATTGGGCTGTAAGATGGGGAGACAAGGATATGCTTGTCACAATGAACAAACAAGTAACACTTAATGAGCATATGCTATGTCCCAGGTAATCTGCTAGGCCATTGTATGAACCAGCTTCAAGCCAAGGATGTGAAATAGCCGCCCAACACTTGGATGTAATATCACAGTCAAGACTGTATGAGTAGAAAGTAGCAAACGATAAGGTCTTTACCATGCGGTCTTGGAGGAAAAGGAGATAACAAAGTTGGGGGCCTGCAAGCCGATTGACTGCTCATTTCTACCTACTGTGGGGGGCTTCCCTCACCTACTCATGTCTGATTCCCTCAGGGGACTTAAAAGACCAGATTGGATTTTCTGGTATGTGACTAACAGGTGAATGACTCCTGGCATGCAACATGCAAATGATGTATCCGAAGCCTTTGGAGGAAGTGAGGGTCAAGCCTGTGAGACTGGCACTGGTTCCTAGGAGCTTTTGTTATTATGGGTTATTCTACACCTGAGGGCCAGACAGGGAAGACAGGCAGTCCTGGAGTAGGACTGAAGGAACTTAGAGAACAGAGGACATGGGAAGCCAGCACACCTGATCTCTGGGGACAGGCACACAGCCTCCCTTCCTCTCTTGCTTCCTTCTCTTGGGCATACTTTGAGTACACACAGACCAATAGTGTGGGGGTGAGGGGTATGTAAAACCATCCAGGAGGCTTATTGTAAACCCATACTTAGAGATCAGCTGCAATTGAACTGTGATGCAAAGGTGGAAGTTTCCAGAATTGACCTCTGTCATTTGTGGGGCCTTATCTCCCATTGGGACCATGGGAAAGCAGTTTGTTTTGCCAGGGGCTATTGTTTGTACAGCACTGACATGCTTTCAGGCAGGCTGCAAGGGACAGCACGTGGGGGACATTATGTCCCAGTTGGTCCTGGGAGGATCCCAGGGGGATATGTGCTGGTCATGTGCTCTGCCTGTCCTGCTTGGGGGCAGGACAGATCTGCTGGCCTGTTGGAATGTGCTGGACCCTTTCCCCAGTGGTTTGTCTAAGCAAATGAGTGCCAGCAGGACTTCCTCCAGCTGCAAGACCCCCTGACCTTCAGTCCTCAGGGAGCCATTGTCCTCCAATGCCTGAGACTCTTATGGTGCAAGATTCTTATCTGGCCTTTGGGACCTACTGGGTTGTCTGTCACATACTCCATCCACTAAGAGCTTAGTGAAAATCACTGTGAACAGTTAGTTACCTGGCAGGAAAGTCAATGAAGCTTGCTCTTTGTAGGCCATGATGTTGGGACTTCACATCAGGAGTCTTAAATGTGTTTCGTGTGCAGCCTGAGTGCAACATCCAGCATCAAACAAGCCACGGCCCTGGTTTGACCCACCAGTCATGCTCCATCATGGGGTAATTGAACCCCAAGTTTCCTTGAAGCCCCAGGGGAGGAAAAGGGGTCAGAAGGGGTCTATTGCAATCCATTAGGACAGAGCACTCTGTGAACAAGGAGAGGCCTCTAGATTGTGTGGGTCCAATGGACAACTTTGTGCTCTGTGAACCACCTGCATCTGCCATCCTTTCACCAGTTAGAAGATGAGGACTATCAGGCTTAGTGGGGTGTCTGTGAGGGACCAGTGGGCTCCACTGTCTGGCTTGTATTAATTACCTGGATGATTAACAATGTGTGCTAGGAATATTTTTCTATTGTGAAGCTCTTAGCCGGAGGACTAATGACAACCAGTCATTCAAGACCCTCTGAGAGGTCAGGATCAGGCCAGATCTGGATGTACCTCTCCACCCTCCCTGGCTCACAGTTGACAGTGTGGTCCCAGTATATCAGGACTTGTGTGACACACATAGACTCGTCCTAGAATTACATAATGTGTTCATTCTCTGTCACAGTCATAGCAAGGACTCTGAGCACATGTTCACAAAGGACCCACCAGAGGTAGAAATGGAAGGAGCTGCAGATGCTGAGGAAGCCCTGGTCCTAAGCTTCACAGGATGCAAGGGAGATGGTGACAGATGACCACTAAGACCACAGACTATGGGTTGTCTTGATGGACTTTTTGTTGCTGTTTACCAACCGTGTGACTATAGACAAGCCTCTGAGCCTGTGCAAGGCTTAGATGCCACATCTGTAAAGTGGGCACCAAGGCTACTGCCTCTCAGGTCCTGGGCATTCAGTGCCTAGATGATCTAGCAGTCTCCTAACCTCACTGTCACTGACACTGGGCCCAGATAACTCTGTACCCGAGGCTGCCCTATGTATTGCAGAAAGATTACCAACACCCTTGTGCTCTGTCCACTCTCCTGTCATCGTCTCATGTTTCAAATGTTTCCAATAGGTGCAGTCTTGCCTCTGTTTGAGAGCTGCTTGATTCAGTCATGGGGATTGATTTTACATAGTTTAATCTAGTAATAATAATATGTTTAATTAAGTTTTGATTTTTTTATAATTATGCATATATAATTCATCCTGAGTAAAGGAACTCAGTGCCACCCCAGAAGATCAGAAAAATAAAAACATATACAATGCCTGACTTGAGCTCACCCTTCTCCAGTCAAATAGAATTTACTTTAGTATCCTCATCTGAAAAATGGAGTTCTTGGTACCTTCTCTCCAGGCTCTTGTAAGGATGCTGTAAGAATGCTGCTATATATGTCACCATGTCACAGAGATGTCATGTGGAGACCAGCTGACTGGCTCTCTGTTTCCTTGAAACGTATATGGAGAAACATGGAGCTTTTCATAATAGCTGCTTTGAATCTGTGAAGGGATTTTGTAGTTTTCGAGATGTGTAGGTAGAGGAATGGGGAAGGGCAGCTAGATGGGATATGCGCCTGGCTCAGGGGAAAGAATAGATGCCCTTCTCTGGTGTGCAGGGAACCCTGTGGCGGTGCCACTGCCTGGCTGCACAAGAGACCCAGAAACTCATACAATACACAGCAACTTGCTGATTGGGCTTGACCCCTCTCTCACAACCATGTTTCCTTTTGCCCACAGATGTACCGAGGCTTCAGTAAGATGCCCCACGTGCAGTACATCCACACGGAAGCCTCTGAAAGTCTCTGTGGCCTTAAGCTAGAGGTCAACAAATACCAGTACCTGCTGACAGGTGAGAGGCACCAGGAGCATCAAGGCACTACCCCCTTGCTGTGGGTCTGCCACAGCTGAGTTAGTGGCATCCTGAAGATCACAGCCATGAGTCTCATAAAGTCGAGTGTCTGTCTTGCTTATGAAGTGCTGGCTGGCAGCCTTGGCTCCATAGTGCCCCTGGTCGCCCTGATGTTGTAGTATCTCAGCTTTAACATAAACTAGAAAGGGGCTGCCTCAGCTACAACACTTGACAATCTGTCTGAAGTCATTGGTTTGTCTTATGTCACAGACCGGTCTTTAGGCTGTCATTGTAGTAATGGCAACATGCAAAACCCTGAGGAATCTAAGATCTGAAGGCTTTGAGATCTTCACTAGAATTCTCAGTATCTCAAGCTCCATTGCCATTTGGAAAACAGGCCAGAGTTCATGTCTAAAGGTGTTGGGGACGGTGTCACTTAGGATCAGTGCCTGACCCTGGCAGTGCAGGCCTCTAACAGAATATGCCTATTCCCTTGCCTCTTATCTCACTTCAGGCCGTGTCTATGAGGGCAAGATGTACACAGGGCTGTGCAACTTTGTGGAGAGGTGGGACCACCTCACATTGTCCCAGCGCAAGGGGCTCAATTACCGCTACCACCTGGGTTGCAATTGCAAGGTGAGTTCTATAGCGTCAGTCTAGAAGCTTTGGTTCCTGCTCTGCTAGGACAGACAGCCTTTTGGGGGTGCAGGGGTGGTAAGGAATGCTGCCCTACGGCAAGGCAGGGGAGAAAGCTCTGAAGAATTACCTGACTGCATGGTGCCAACTTGGCAGCTGCTAGATTATGAGGGCTTTTCAGTGTCCTGGCCCCTCCCAGCTGTTCAAGGCCATGACAGGTACAGGAAGTTTCCATGAGGGTTCTGCCAAGCTGTCACTCTGACAGCTGACTCACTAGAGTCCTTGCCCAGGTGAGCAGGCTGGCCAAGGCCTGCTGACAACAGTTGCTACCCAGTCCCTTAGTCACCCTCTGTCCTAATCCTCAGGATAATCTCATGTCCACTTAATTGCTATTGCTTCATTGTACAGGTAAGTAATGACAGTGCAGACATCTTCACCATGTGATCCTGGCTTATAGAGCTTGCTGAGTCTGACTTCCACCCCAGGGCATGCTCACATCTTTCTAATTCTTTCATTCCTACAGCATGGTAGTCTCCCCTTCCCACATCTAATCTGGGACTCTACTTTGTGTGACCTAGAGCAAGCTGAGCAACCTTTCTGAGCCCCCTTCAATAAGAAGGGAGTTAGAACTGTACCAAAAGTTTAGAGGCACTGTGTCTAGTACCAAGTAGATGCTTAATGGCATGATACTGTCAGCATTAAAGAGCAGGGACCCCGGGTTTGAATACAGGCTGGGCCTGACATAGTGCAGTCCCCTAATTGTGGCTTGTGTGTTACTGCAGATCAAGTCCTGCTACTACTTGCCTTGCTTTGTGACCTCCAAGAATGAGTGTCTCTGGACCGACATGCTCTCCAATTTTGGCTACCCTGGCTATCAGTCCAAGCACTATGCCTGCATCCGGCAGAAGGGTGGCTACTGCAGCTGGTACCGAGGATGGGCCCCTCCAGACAAGAGCATCAGCAATGCCACAGACCCCTGAACCCAGACCTGCTGCCCCACCTCACCTCCTTCCCATCCCACTGAGCCTCCCGGACACTAACTCTTCCCAGATGATGACAATGAAATTAGTGCCTGTTTTCTTGAAAATTTAGCACTGGGGACACTTAAAGTCTCTTCTATCTATGGAGTTGATTTGAAAATACCCTCCTGGCCCTGACCCTACCCCTTCTTTTTTGGTTTTGATATCACCCACTTCTAACTGGGAATCCCTGGTGCCAAGCCAGAAAGAATGAGGCATGTATAGTCCTCTTCTTCATGATATATAATCTATTTTTATAGGAAAACAAAAATTGAAAAATCTATCCCATTTGGGCATTTAATAGCTACCCCTCTTTCTTCCTCTCTTTACCACATCCTAGACACACTTCCAGTTACACTTCTTCATCCTAGTACACAAAGGACATAGATATGGAGGTTGGCAGAAGTCCAACTGTTTCCCAATCAGTCAAGGGCAGCAAGCAGACAGATGCAGGTTCGAAAGACCTTATCCACAGAGGATATACAACTGTGTATCTGGATCAGATGTTCTGTCTATGCAAGTCAGAGTGAGGGAGGGAAGCAGAAAACTACAGAACTGGGTCTGACTCACAATTCCCCAGCCCAGTGATACTGGGGTTGACCAGATGTTTCAGATTCTGGAGCAAGCATCCATGTCAGAGTAACAGAACTTCTACATTGGTGAAGACTTAAACATCTGCCTGAGTTCAGCAGACAACCCGTCTATCTGTACAAAATTCAGACAAAGGGTTGAGATGAACATCTCTCCTTTCCTGCTTCCCATGAGACATCCTCCTGGGAATTCTTGGGGAAGTTTGGTTTGAAGCTTGCTGATATGTAAGCTGGAGAAATACACACCAGACACTATCCACTGATATAGTCAAGTAGATTTGGGTAGAGAATACTATTTCCAAAGTAGTGTTTAGCTCATCGTGTTTATATACACATTTTCATATACCCACAGGGTATTATGAGCTAATTTTTATAGGACACAGAATTCTATTCAATGCTGTTAAATATGCAAATAGTTTAATCTCTTTTCTTTTGTTGTTTGATGGGAAATTGTGACATTCCAAGTTGACTTTTTTCTTTTCATTTGAATTAAACATTTGAAACTCTGAAAACCTTCAGTACCCTCTTGTCCCTACAACTGGGATTATCTGACCTCTCACCCCTTTCTTCCTTCTGCTTTGTACTTGGGTGGCCTTCACTTAATTGCCTTACTGGCCAGCTGGTGGCAGGTGAGCGTGAGTGTAGGTTAGGGGCCTTCACATGAGAGGGGCAGTTGCATAGCATTCTGCCTCTGTGAAATGCCTCCTCTCCTGCATATGGGGACATATCTTCTTCCCCAGCTCAGTAGTGGGTGAATATTACCTCCTGAAATGGACACCTCACAGAATGAACATAGTTGGTTACCAAGAGAGCCAGGCTCTGCTGTCAAAGTGTAGGCCTTTTGTTGTGTCATATTTTTGTTTTGAAAATAAAACTATAATATAAATTTTCCAATTAAATAAGATTATTTTAAGTTTTAGTGTCAAAAATGCATTGCCAATAGTAGGTGATAATGTGTATTTTACAGAGTTTGAGATGGTAAGGTGGTGACATTTATCACAATTACTCTCTGTCTCTTTTCAGATTATGTGTATTTATCCTCTATTAGTATCATATCTTCAGTCATTCCACTTTAGGAAACATAGTTACCAATTATAAGTAGAGAGAGAAAGGCCAACATGTTCCTCCAATGTCTGCCCCCCAACCCCACTCCACATACACCAATTCTTTGGCCTGGTGTTTGATAGACTAGCAGAACAGGAAGACAGTTCAGGCAGTGGATGTCGGGTTTCCTCTTGGTTGATTTCATTCCCCTGTAACTTTGCCCTGTATTCACAGGGAATAGAAGGCATGGTCCTTTCCACGTGTGGAGAAGGAGCTGAGATTAAGGGGTGACTTACTGTTTGGGGTTCTTTACTCAGAGTCTCCTAAGATGGATCTCTGGATCTACCTTGCTCAAGTGCCCTCCCATATGTACACCCCAGTGTCTCTTTTAAGAGGTCTTTAGCCATTCTCAATGTGTAATCACCTCACTCCTAGAGGAGACACAGGTGAGGCCTGAGTGTAAAGCACCTGAAATTAACCCAGAGATAAAATCAGCTGGCATAACCATGGTTCCAGTGGCTTTCAAGGCCCTGCCAAGAAGTCCTGGGCAAGGAGGGGCCTTCTGGGAAAGTCACGTCACCAGAGGGTGGTTTCTGAGCTTTCTATAAGCTATAGCTTTGTTTATTTCACCTGTTCACTTACTGTATAATTTAAAATCATTTATGTAGCTGAGACACTTTGGTATTTCAATCATATCATGAATGTTTTATTTTGCTAAATCAAGTGTCATGCATAGGCTGTCCTATGTACACTGTGTCTAAGAGAAGAAGAAAAAGAAAGAAAGAAAGAAAGAAAGAAAGGAAGAAAGAAAGAAACCCACATGCCATTTTCCTGATTCAAATTCTACAGTAGAATGGAGGGTAGAACACTGGGACTCAAGCACTCAGCTAGACTGGAGTTCAAAAAAATAGAAGGTACTAGAAACAGCCTCCTTTTACCTCCTCCCCATGGAATCCCAAGGGTGGGAAGGAGAAGAAGAAAAAAAAAAACAAAGTACACTGATGTTCTTGTCCTGTATCAACTATCTCTGGGTCATCTGCCACCCACTTCCCAAGACCTTTTTCTTACTCAACCAGGAAACTATGGTTTCTGCAACATCCGGGGCCATGGCAACTGTGACTCCAAGCTCTCTTTGTCTCATCTAGGCATCTTTTCTGCCTCTCAGCCAAGGAATTCCTATGCACAGGCTCTTGCTTCCCAGATTATCATCTGCTATAGCCGGAGTGGGGAGCTTAAGGAAACCCCAGTGCCTGCCTTCTCCAGCCCTAACTCTGCCACACAAACACTGTTTCATGTTGTACTTCTTAAACAATAAAGGACATACAATGACCTTTGGGGATAGATCTGTCTGGGAGATAATGTGGGTCCAGGAGCCATTACTGTCTCATGCTAAGGTGGCATACAGGTGGTTGGTTCCCAGCTACTTAAAGTTAAAGGTATTTGTATTGGTGAGAAACTTTAAAAAGTATAATGGCAGAAGCACAATGAAACGTGAGAAGGCAGGAGAGATCATCTCAACAGATCTAAGTTGGCTATTTGGATTTAGGAGGAGAGGACCTAAGAAAATGACCATGCTCTGAGGACAGGCGTACCTTAGATTCTCTATGACTACTTTTCCTCTAGCCAGTTGCCTGTGTTGAAGCCCAGTGATGATGAAGAGACACCAACCAGAGAAAACCCTGTCTAGAAGGAATGTATTTGTTGCTAAATTTTGTAGCACTGTTTACAGTTTTCCTCCATGTTATTTATGAATTTTATATTCCGTGAGTGTATATTGTCTTGTAATGTTGCATAATGTTCACTTTTTATAGTGTGTCCTTTATTCTAAACAGTAAAATGGTTTTATTTCTATCACACACCTGCTGTCTCTTGCCTTCTTGTCTTGGGGGATTATATTGGTATCAGAGAGAATTTTGCAAGCAGATACTGCCTGTCTTTTTTCATATTCCTGTACACAACCTCCTTCCACTCATTTCTACATTCTGGGCCACTTTCACTAAGCCTTTTATTTTACAACAGATTTCAGGAGAGCATTCTTAGACCCATATGGTCCTAATCTAGCACTAACTTTACTCCTTCTTCTACTGGCAGGATCTCCCCTAGTCCAGTGTTCAAAAGACCTCAATTTAATCACTTGTGGGTGAATAGGACTGGGACTTGTCTCAGCCTAAGTCATGGTTTTCCCATGATCAGAGTGGGAAAGGAAGCTTGTAGGCAGCCATATTTGATGCCAATGATCTAACTGAAATCCTGAGTGAAGCTCCTTGGAATGCCAGGAATTCCTGAGGCCCTAGGACAGCTGGTGATTTCCTCCCATCCAGCACTCAATGAGCTACTTTCCATTGCATACCACCACTTAACTATGAGCCCTCATTTGCCAGTGTAGGTCATGACCTTTGCCCCTGTTTGAAAGGTTCTCCACTCTCAACACCCATCACATGCCAGGCATAGCATTAGACATACACTTGCACAGACCCTTATCAACCTGCTATGATTCTACTACTCTCAATGAGATTAAATTCTTGTCTAAAATCTAGTCAGTAGACTGGGTGGCAATTAGTAGTCAACTGCTTTGAAGGCAAACCCTGAATTTTTTGAGTTAGTTTATGCAGGTTCTGTGTTATTCTGACCTTGTCATTGTAGTAACTGAACACCAGAAAGAGATATCTCATGGTGGGAGGGCTGATTTTTGCTTTGGTTCCTGGTTTCAGAGGCTTTGGTTTACTGCTTCATCATGGTAGACTAAAGTAAAGGACAATGCGTAAGCCCCAGCCTTCCTCCATTTCTGTTAACCCAGTCTGGGCCCCTGACTTCATAGATGGCGTGTTACCCACATTCCAGGTTGATCTTTCCTGGCTTAGTTAATCCCGACAGACACCTAGAAAGTTCATTACTAATCTGGGTTCTTTTCATTCCAGTCAAATTGGTAATTCAGACTTACAATTACACTTGCTCAAACCAACCAGACATCCTGGTAGATACAGTGGACAGACAACAAATGAGAGCCTCACACATCCTGGATTTTGTGACTGATGAGAAGATACAGCAGATAAACAACTAACTAGAGCCACCAACTGGCTAGGTTGCTCCCACTGAAGCCTGCAGTCCTACCTGGCAGTATCTTCAAATGGGCCAGCCCAGCTCAATTAGCAGCCAGTCTGAAATCCTACAAACAGACTGCAGTCCCCAGCTAGGATGAGTATATATTATTCTTGTTCCCTGAGATCCTTATTTCCTGCAAGGCCAAGTGCACTGATTATGCACTAATCCCATGAGCAGGCATGCTATAGGCTGGTTCCAGCAGCTCAAAACCCTTCTGCCAAAATTCTAACTGTGGACATTAGTCTTCAACCTTCTAAATAGGAAATGAAGCCACACACTCTCAGCTTGGCCCTAGTAGACTTCCAGATATAACACAAGTGTACTTCAAAAAAAGAAAATTGAACATACATGCAAATTGCTTTTTAATTATCAACTCAAGTAAGATATCAGAGCTTTTATTAAAATTACAGTGGAAACCAGGTCCCAGGAAAAGTGTACTGAAGGTAACATTTTACCATAAAAGTAGTTTTGCCCTTTTTACTCAACCTCTAGTTCCATGACAGCTTAAGATGTTCCTTGATGTGTTTCACAGAATGCCAAGTACCTTTGTCACTTGCCCTATTACCTGAAATTCTCCTGGAAAAGTCAAACCTTCTCCAAGGAGCACTAGACATTCCCACAAGCACAGGACATGCAGTCTCCCATTGGGAGTCCAGGTAACCAGGAAGCAAGCTTTGAGCCACTCAGAGAGACTCAGGAGACAGACACGTAAGGTCATCCTGCATCAGGAAAATAAGCAGAGATAAAAAGGCACTCACCATTGGCTTGTGGTTTGGGAAAAATGTTTGCTCCACGAGTGGAAACTTCTCAGGACCCAAGGAATGGAAGATTTTAATGAGCTGAGAGAACTGGGAGAGAAAAGGAGAGCTTGTTAGCCAGCCAGGGTTCCCCACTAGGGTCCCAGCACCCACTTGACTCTGGCCTTCAAGCATCTTTCCTGTGCTAACTTCTGGAAGCTGTTTTTCACCACCAGGTTAAAAAGCCAACTTCCTTGACTGGGTATCACCCCCTCTTTTACCATTTGTGCCTGCCCCTGACACAAAAGGTAGGCTTGTCACTGACTTCAGTTCAGCTATGTTTTATAAGCACTTATCTGCATTCTCAGCCATTTCACACAAGGCCCTTGTTCCCAGTACAACCTGCTGGGGCTTCTGCCATTCTTCTGCCTGCCATATCTATATTTCTAGGATAGCATTGTAGGCACTTTATGACATTCAGTCTGAGTCCAGACTCTCTCATTCAAATTCTTACTGTTATAGTTATGATACCTTGAGGAACAGGTTCAGAACCCTATTTCCTAATTTGTAAATGCAGAAGATACAAAAATCTCACTCACTGGAATGCTAGGACACTACTACCTAATTCATAGTAGTAGGTAGCGAGTAATAATTCTTCTGCTTTTACGACTATACATTGCAAACTCTCAAGCAGGTGCCCACTCTACATCACACATATTTTCACTTCCTAAGGGGACCTCAGACTAGCTTGTGCTTCCAGAGGGAGGGTCAGATCCAGTGGTTGTACAGAGCTCAGATGGCACCTGGCATTGTACATGATTAAGACAACACTCCAAGCCTAGGGGCAGACAGGCAACACTACAAGGTTGAGATGCTAAGGTATTGCTGGTGGGAAGCATAGGGAATTTGGGACAAAGAGGAGGACGAGAGTCATCAGGAAGGCTCCTCGGACCTAAGTCATAAGAGGAAGAAGGGTACTCTGTGTTTTCAAGGAGACCACTGCTTCTGAAGGCCTTCTTGGCTACCATGGCTGTGGCCTCGGGCGCAGGGGGATGTTGAGGAAGCAGGCAAAGAGTGGCCCATCACAGGTCATCATGAGCTTTAAAAGGTTGGACCAAGGGTCTTATTCGCTCAGAAGGCAAAGGAGCATTACATCTGGATACCAGAAAAACTTGGACTCTGCAAACATAGGTACCTCATGGCTAGAAGAAGAGCCACATTTTGTGGCAGGAAAATGCCAATATCTTAGACAGAGAAATAAGAATGCTCTATACTGGGTTTCTGTACAATCTTGTGGAATAGTCCACACGTGTAGCACAGAATCAACTCATTCTAAACGGCTTGAAGAACCGTTTGGGGGTGTCCCTAATTTTACAGATAAGGAAGGTGGAGTTTAGAGAGGAAAAGCAATTCCATAGCTACACTGGTGAGTTTTGGAGAACTACAGCTCTTACTGGCAGCTTTATAGTGGATACCTAGTATATGGGTGTTAGCACATAGCATAGTGAGTGATAATAAGTTGCTGATGTCAAAAGTATGTACTGTTTCCTTCTCATGGCATTCAAATATTAGATTCCATGAGTCAAAACCCTTAATTATGACATAAAAAGACCAGAGCTAGGATAGCAGCAGCTAAGACTAGCTACACCTATTATATTACCCCAAGTAGTCATGCAACAAATACTGAGAGCTATCCCAGACTTAGTCCATGTATTGTTGCCACTATTTATTTAGGTTATGCTGTGTACTGGCCACCATTACAAACACCTCACATGCCCCCACTGGAAGCCAGGAAAGCCCTATTATTACTATTCTTTTCTAAATAAGGACACCAAGTTCAGAGAGGCTAATACAATTGCTTGAGGGTACACATAAGTGGAAAGACTTGGTCTTGGTCAATCTAGCACCAGTGCCCAGACTCTGGTCAGTGTTCTTCACTCCCAGGTGATGACAGACAGGCAACCAAACAGGGTGGACCAGAGAGCTGACATATTTCATAGCATTTTCTCCACACCTCTGAGCCTCCTTCATTTTCCCCCATAGGATAGATGACACAGTTGTCATATTCGCTAATAGACTTTCACTAGAATGGGGTTAAGGGATAGGTACTCTGGTGCTATAACTATGTGTGTGGGAAGCTGCATTGCTTGTATTAAGAGAGATAAATGATGGAAAAAGGTATGGTGTCATTTAGGTGCAGACCCCATGTGTGGAGTAACAAAGTGGAGTTAGGGACCAGAGAGTATTTGAGAGAATAGAGGAGGGCCAATATTTTAGGAAGATCCTTTGTTTTTGTATAACACTTGAATGGAAACTGGGTAAATCGAATGAATGTTTGAGACTAGTTAGTAAATGGGGAGAAAGAAATGTGAGAGCTGGAGAAAGAGGGCTTCAACATCTGGGTTTATCATTCACTAACCCTAAGATCCCAGAGAGTTCTGAAGTTAAGGCTTCTCCTCTGTAGGACAGAGGAATAATGCCATCTTCAACTACTGTAATAGCATGGGCACTTGTAGCAATTCTCTGGCATTCAGTATGTGTTTGATAACTTCAAAGAGCAACAATAAGAAAATTATACTAGGATTTTAAAAACAAGTTATGTCTGTTTGTTTGTTTGTTTGTTTGTTTGAGTCAGGGTCTCCCATACTCTGGGATGGCCTAGAACTCTTAATACATAACCAAGGATGAACTTGTCTGATCCTCTTGCCTCCATCTCCTTAGTTCTGGAATTAGAGGTAAGCACCATCACATCTGGATTACACAGCACTGGAGATTGAGTCCAGCACTCTAGCAATTGAGCTACATCCCCAGCAAGACTAATGTGACTATAACATAACCCTGTATCATAATGTGTTATACACAGTATTTTTTAGGCTGCAATTCCCAGAAGAGACCTGGGGTCAAGTTACTTGCTCAGTTTCTTAAATAAGATTCTTCTCCTAGTTGAGGCTTTGTATAGCGAATGGAGCCATTTATAGGCTGGGAGACTGACTCATGCTTCCCAGTTCCCTCCATGC